CCGGAATCGCTGGAATTTATGCACAGCGATAAATCTCTCACGATAGCTCTGATACCATGTGAGAAGGCACGGGAGAAAATATGATATATTGATATTGTGTGTGATGCAATACAAGAGGTGCTATTTATAGCTACTCTATACAAAGGGGATACTACTCCTATTCCAATGTGGGACAATTACATAGCTATCTCTAACATTTACATAGCTATCTCTAACAGCGCTTAAAGCCCCAACAGACCTTAGAGTTTTTTTGCACTTTTCGCTTTTGATAACACTGGTATCAAGATTCAACTTGAGTTAGATCAACCGCCTCGCTCTCCCTTAAGTATTAGTACCAATAAAGAAGTGGACATAAACTTGTTCAGATTATGTAGAATCTACGGATTCTTAGATTGATCTATTTTGGCAGAGATTATACTTACTGTTCGTCGCCTTATTTCATGCAAAATATAGTAAAACAGGCAAAACTTACAAACAGTTTGAGTGATATTGGCCGCTCTGGCATAAATTTGCTTTGTCCTTGATTTTTTATGTATTCTTCTGGTTTGTCATTTGATACACTTCTTTGGAGTTGTCATGTATTAATTTTCTCTGAACTAATCGGTCGGATTATTTGTGGATTGCAGCTAGAATTTTGTTCATTCAATGTTGATGATGAAGACTACATGGGTTATGATTACAGCATTATAGGCCAGCTGTCTGAAGTGCGGATTGTTTATTTGAATCGCTTTATCCAAGAGGTAATGCAGCTTTAGCTTTTCTATTTGGCTATTCCTGTGTTTTATGATCTCATGATATGTTATGATTTTCTTGTAGATTGTCAGTTACTTCATGGGTCTTGTTCCAAACAGTTCTAATGATGTTGTCAGAATAAACGATCAAGTTACAAACTCGGAGAAGTGGTTTACAAGAAGTGAGGTTGAAGGATCGCCTGCTTTAAAGCTGGATCTTTCTCTAAGAAAGCCTATAATTTTAATGCCTCGAAGGACTGATAGCCTTGAGTGAGTTAATAATTCTCTGGTGATGATGCTTTCCAGTCAGTTCTTCTGTTAAAATATGCACCCGTTAGCAGTGCTCTAATTTAAAAGTCTAATGTATTGCCTTGATTTTTCCTGTATCTTCATGTTTTATGTGATCTGTTTTGTGGGGATATATGGATTATGGATTAGACATTTATACCCTTTAATCACATCTGTGGAACAATAATCATAGCTGATCTCATAGTTTCCTCTTGCAGTTATTTGAAGCTCGATGTTGTTCATATCACTGTCCAAAACAGGTTTCAGTGGTTTTGTGGTAGCAAAAGTGAAATGAATGCCGTACACATGGAAATATTAACAATCTCTGTAAGATCTTTATGTTTTATCTCCGTTGGTTATGTTTTTGATCTAGATGCAAGTTGCTAATGGCCTAATATCACAATATTCTTACACTGATAAGGGAATTTAACAAAGAATGAGAATAAATAGTTTAGCTCAATAAAAATCTCATTTTTGCTGTCAAAGTTGCATGCTTTTTGCATGAAGCAAAAATTTGCATATTGCCAATCAGGGAACCTGTTTGAAGCTCAATTTTTGTATGTAATAGCATTTGAAAAGGTTGTGCAAGTTTGTCAGAGAGAGTATCCTTTAAACAGGGAAGTTATAGATATCTGCAGATTGTTAATTTGGTTGGCTTGCGTTATACAATGTAAGCTCAATGGTATCATAGATAGACACCATAATAGTATTCTTTTTAGTTGTCCCTTTCTTTAAGTTACTCTCCATACATAGTTCATCTGAGAATTTGTCAGATATTTACCTTCCTGTAGGTCAAGGACATCAATTTAAATGTGGGTGCTGGCTCAGAATTGGGTGAAAGTATAGTCCAAGATGTCAATGGAATTTCAATTGTTATACAGCGATCGCTGAGGGACCTATTGCATCAAATCCCTAGCATCGAAGTTGCTATCAAGGTACTTTAATACTAAAATTCTGACTGTAGTTTGGTTCTTTCTATCGTTCACTACCTAGAATTTTGTTGTTTTGGAGATCAAATTGTCCCAATCTCATGGTATTTGAATATTTCAGGTTGAAGAATTAAAAGCTGCTCTATCAAGCAGGGAGTATGAGATAATTGCAGAATGTGCGCAGGAAAATCTTTCAGAGACTCCTAATGTTGTGCCTCCTCTAATAGATGACGCCTCATCATCTTCAGCTGTCAAGACACAACATTTATCAGTGAGAAATTCTGATGCTGTTAAATCTGAAGCTGAAGATAAAGATAAGTGGATTGTAACCAAGGTCTCTATTGCTATTGATCTGGTTGAGCTTGGTCTTCACTATGGATTGACAAGGGATGCATCGCTTGCCACGATGCAGGTAATTGAGACTCCATTATTTAAGTTTATTTTGTTATTATTGTTGTCCTTTCAAATTGTACTTTCATCTTGCTATTCCGGTTTGTTAATCTCATGCTTCTGTGAAAGGAAAGAACAATGTCTTTAGATGTTTCTTGGGTCAATAGATGTCACTAAGACAATATAATGGGCACATCTTCAAAACAGGTTGCTGATTTTCGCATGCATTTTCATTGAAGACATAGTGAGGAAATAGGTCTTATTGCATGCTTGACACTTGTCAGTCAGCCACTTTTGTCTAATTAGTGAAGTAAATTTGAGCAGGAGATGCTAGAATACGAACATATCGGCATGAAGTATATTACCTTTGTTCTGGTTAGGCAGTTAAGCATACACGTATTGTGTCACTTATTGGTAAATTGATCTCCACTAAATATGCATGAAGTGCAATATTTTGGATAGTTGTGTACATACTGTGATGTTCATGATCTTCTTGGAATTTGAATCATATCTATTTTTATTAATCTCCCTTTTTTAATCATAAATTTTGCACATCGTCACTGTCTTCCAAATATGTTTAATCTTTGTTTTCATTTAATCTATTAATTTTATGCCTGCCAAATTCTGAATGCGGATCTTATTTTTGCTTTTAAGGTAAGTGGTCTGTGGCTTCTCTACAAATCCAATACAGCAGGAGAAGGCTTTCTGTCTTCGACACTCGAAGATTTCACTGTGATGGATAATCGTGAAGGTATAGAACAGGAACTCAGGTTGGCAATTCGGAAGCCTGAAACAATTTGGTACAATCCTTCACAGTCAGTGACTGATGCTGGTGAATATGCTGGCATGGCCTTCAGTACAAGTAGTGACAAGGACATGAAACTCGTACCTTCAATGGTTATTCTTGATGCAAGATTCTATGAAAATTTGACATCTTTTTCTCTCTTCATTCAAAGGCCACAACTGCTAGTTGCACTTGATTTTCTGCTTGCTGTTGTTGAGTTCTTTGTACCAAATGTTCGAAGTATGCTGGCAAACGATGACCATGGAAGTTCTGCTAATGCTGTAGATGCTGTTATTCTTAATGACTCAGTTTACAATCAGCCTTCTGCTGAACTCTCACTTTCTCCTCAGAAACCTTTGGTTGCCGATGATGAAAGTTATGACTTTTTCACATATGATGGCAGAGGTGGAACTTTGTTTTTGCAAGATAGGAGAGGACAAAATCTCTCTTCTCCGAGTGAAGAGGCTGTAATTTATGTTGGAAGTGGAAAGAAGTTGCAATTTAAGAATGTTAAGATCAAGGTGTGTCCTCTAAACGGATGTTTCATTTATACGAATCTTGATTATGAAGCTTTATTGTTTTGACGGAGATGGAATTACCATGTTGGTTTTCTTTTTCTTTGTGGTTCAGAATGGAAAATATTTGGATTCATGCGTTTTACTTGGATCCAATAGCAGCTATTCTGCTTCAGAGGATGATGGAGTCTTCTTTGATGAAGCTTCATGTGAAGGACCATCAGAAGATGATTCTGGAGTGACCGTAGATGCTGTGCCATCTCAGAATACTAATGTCAGCAGATCTGCAGAGTTTATATTTGAGCTGAAGGTCAAATATTCTCTTATTTTTGTTGTTCTTTCTGCAATACCAGTAAAAGATTTTCCTTCAAGCAATACACTACATAGTTCATATATGGCCTTTCTGCCATGTGCATAAGTCTCTTCAAGTATTCTAAAAAATATGACCTTCAGTATCTACAATCTAAGAGGCCTGTGCACATATCTGATAAGTTAAAGGCACTTATTATCTATGATATAACTTTGAATCACACCATGGTTTGATGGTAGTCATTTATGAGTGTTTGCTGCTCTTTGGTGTTCATGTATCCTTCCTCCAGCAGGTGCCATTTGTTTGTTTAGGGCTGTAACCTTTTTAAACAGCGGTTGTATGAAGACCTTTCAGTAACGAAGAACAGCAGATTGACAGTCCATGAGTGGCCTTAGGTTCAGATCATGGGTCCTCTCAACATAGTCAGTTTGGATATAATTACCTCAAAATCTGTTGGGAAACAGTGATTGTAAAAGATCTTGCGTACAATAAGTATCATTGAAGTCTGCTAGACAAAAATGTTAATCTATATGAGGATTGTTAGCACCAAAAATACAAGGTCTTCCCAAGTTCTGCTTTCTTTCTCTGCCCCCAAAATTTGCATCTTTTAAGCAAACTTTTGTCACATGGAAGGCGCACTTGTTTCTTCTCTCAATTTTATCATTGCTGACATGATTCACAGTCGAAGAATTTCAGCCATTTTTATCAACGGAGGCTTTTCCTTTTATCTTTAGAATGTCTACAATCTGGATAGCAATTTGACTCTACTATACAACATATATATCTTGCTTTGTTTTTGTTGTTTTAGCATGTGAAGTTTGTTTGCACTATGTTTGATACTATGATGGAGAAGAAGGATAAAAAGGAGAAAACCTCTTGGTTTTGCTTCTTCTGGTGTGAGTTACTCATTTAGATCCAGTCTTTTTGATACAACTTGAGGGCAAGTAAAGTGTTTCCTCGTTTATGTCCAATTTCAAAGCGATAGGAAATTGATTACTGACCTGTCTGCTTTTAACTACCCCTCGTCCTTAACTTCCTTGCTAAGTGGTGGAGATCACCATAACGATCCTGTGTTATTTCCCTCTCTCCCACCTGTCCTCGTTTCATCTCGACCAAACATAGTGTTGATGATCTGGTACATTGAATTAGGAGGAGTCATTTAATAGAAATTTGAACTTGCTATAATTTTAATTACATCTTATGGAGAACAAAATGCAGGCTATTGGTCCAGAGCTTACCTTCTATAATACATCAAGAAGTGTGGGAGAGTCTGCTTCCCTTTCGAACAAATTATTGCACACGCAGTTGGACGCCTTCTGCAGGTTGGTTCTCTCTGCTAAGCATTACAGTGTTCCATTTTTGTTTTTTTTACTTGTATTTGTTGGGGATTGCATGTTTTTCATATTTCTACCTGGTTTCATGGAATTTCCAATTTGTGCATGGAAGTCCTCTATCAGCTTCCGTGGGACATGGTAGTTGGTTAGATAGGCCTATCGAGGAGGAGTAACATGTCCTTCCATTTCTCTCTAGAATAATACTTATATTAGTCTACTGATGATTTATCTGATTATGTGTTGATTGGTTCGAGTCTTGATTCTTTGTTTGTTGAATTAGTTTCTAAAATGGTACTCTCCATTAGTTTTGAGGAATTTTAGCAGTGTAAGCTTATCAATAAGACGGCGACAAATGGCGTGTTCAGCAAGCTCTCTTAATTTTTTGATTATGCAATTTCTTCAGATTAAGAATGCTTAATGAAGATACTTGACATTATTATACTTTCAAATGAGTTGGTGAATGATGCTAGCTACCGCAATAACCAATTGCTACTTTTTAAAGTGTTTTTTGGTATGACACGTGAAATTGGATTACTTCATCAGTTCTTCCTTCGTTTGTTACTATGATGATCGAGATTAGTCTTGGTAATGCATCTACAAGATTGAATTAACTTATCATGTGTAGTTTACAGGAAAGAATCTATGTATCCAGTCGAAAGTTATAAGCGAACTGGTAGAGTAACTCAAGATCTTTTTCAAACTCTTTGAATTCCCTTGAAAAAAAATAATGTATCTCCAAACACCCTCTTTCACGTGGGGCTCAACTTTAGAGTTCACAAGTTTATTAAATACAGATTTACGGTAGTAAGAACGGCCTATAAAAGGTTGATTCTGATACCTTTTGAAATATATTTATGCATCTAACCAAAAATCTTGAGGCAATTGATGGCTCACGACATTTGTAAACCCACCTTACAAATTCCTTTTGTTGCCTTTATATACTCTCTTGAGGCAATTATATATCTCAATCAGCTTCTTGTTTTTGTGTTGGACATTAAGTAAGGTATCCTGCATTTGAAGCTTTGAGGGGAACTTGATTTACAACTCGCTAATCATAGTGGTCTTTTCTTTTCTATGTTTACCCCTTTTTAGTGTCTTTTGGTGTTTCTGTTTTCTAGGTGAAAGTAGTTTAATATTAAGATTTGACATTTTAGCTTCCATTGTCTGTTGTACCATTCTGTGTTGTCCTCTTACTTGGGGATGCTTTTGTTGGGAAGTCCTCTTTTGATTACTTATGAGTCTATGACCCTATTGGGTTATCCTCTTTTTTGGATCGCTATGGAGGTAAGCCAGAAGATTGAACTTGTGATGCCAACTTTCTCATGAAAATGGGTTACCAATGTGCGCGGGACCGTTATAATTTTTGTCAAAATAATGATAATTTCAACTAAAAAGAAATTATTCTGTGTAAAGGATGATGATTGTTAGATAATTATGTATAAATAGTCCTAGTCTAATATGTAGTAGTAGTAGTAGAATATGTCCTAGTCCCATATGTAGTAAGAGTAGAATATGTATTATATATAGAGCTCATTGTATAATTGTTATAATTGGATTTTTCTCCCAAGCATTCTCACATGGTATTTGAGCTTCAGTGAGAAAATTATCGTTGTGCGTCATTCCAGCGACATTCGGGAAGAAATATCTCATCACCGTGCAATTTTCCGGCAACTTCGTCTTGTTCCCAGGGTTCATCACTGCTACAGTGGTACTGTGCATATACCAGTACCACCATCAGATCCGAGGCCCTTGTGCGACCAAACCCCAGAAATTCCAGTTCCGTCGGAATAGAAAAGTCAGTCACCGTGCATCTTCCCGGTTGACGAATCAAGATTAATTTGCGTTATCTCCTCATCAGTAAGTGTTTTGCGAAAACCACATGTTCGGAAAAGTCAGGCGACAATCCCAGTCAATCGCTCCGATACAAAGCCGCTCGCGCGCCTCCACGCGCCGCCGGAACTAGGATTCCAGCGAGCTACAATAACTTTTCCGGCACGTGTGAGCCATTCTGGCCACTTTTTGACAAAACTTCTTCAGGACAACTTACTCGTCCGGTGATCCCGAGCCTACCCATATAAATTACATCAAATTCTGACAATTTTTTTCGGTGTGAACAATGCACTTTTCCCCAGAAAAGTTTCTATTTTCTGGTAGTGTTTTAAACCTATTTTGCAGTGTGGAATTCAGCTTAGTCTCACTATTTTCAAAATTTTCCAGCAACATTTCGGCCAACTTTTATTTATGAGCAATCACCTGGTTTTGTTGCTCAGGGGGAGTCTAGTGGCCTTGTATGTCGAATGATCGGCTTGCAGATATTTTCACCAAGTGCCTCACTGGCCCTCGTATTAGTTACATATGTAACAAGCTCGGTACATATGATTTGTATTCACCGGCTTGAGGGAGTGTGTTAGATAGTTATGTGTAAATAGTCCTAGTCCCATATGTAGTAGGAGTAGGATATGTATTATATATACTCATTGTATCATTGTTAATAATTATATTTTTCTCCTGTGCATTCTCACAATGATTTTAGGGAAAACCCTGTATGTTGGACAAAAATCTATAATTAGTAGAATTTGGTTTTCAGAATAGGTTAATATATAGTTATCAAAGACTAATCGGGTTAATATGCTATCATGAGTGTTCTGTCATCTGTTCTTTCTAGTGTACAAGAGCTCTTGTGTTAACTTTCATTTGCAAAGCAAGCCTCCTTTCAAGATTTTCTATGGGTTGAGGTTCACGGCAGACTAAGCATCCTCTACTTTTTTTTGATAAGGTAAATTGTATTAATCAAAAGGGAGAGAACTCCCGTATACAGGAAGTATATCAAAAAGTAGAGAATTTACATCAGAACATGATTCTCTACAAAAGACGCCCAATCTTCTATACAAATAGGGGCTATATGAGTACATCAAAAAGCGATCAAAGATAAAAGACTATTCTTAAGATGTGAAAAAGGAGACTCAATCCCCTCAAAAGCTCTCCTATTTCTCCCCCCCCAAACTATCCACATGAGAGCTAACGGGGCGAACTTCCACGCCTTTTGCTTTCTTCTTCTATGGAAACCAGCCCAACTATATAGCATTTTCTTTACGGTCCAAAAAGGTTCAGGATCACCCTCCACAAAGCCGAGGACACAGGGCAATGCAACAAAAGATGATCAACTTCTTCCCCTGAGCTTTTACACATATAGCACCAACTAACAAGTGTAATTCCCCTCTTTCGCAGATTCTCAGCAGTCAAAATCTCTCCCCTCGCTGTTAGCCATGCAAAAAAGCACACCTTCGTGGGCGCCTTAGGAATCCAGATCGAGGAGTATGGAAAAGAGGCCTCCTCTCTCACCAACATACTCTGGTAAAAGGACTTTACGGTGAACAGACCATCACCACGCAAACCCCATCTCCAAGAATCACAAGATGGCTGAGGCCTGTCTTGCCCATATAGCAGTGTCAATAAATCTTGGAGCTCCGCAATTTCTCAATTTTGCATGTTCCTTCTAGATGAGAGGTCTCATACTACCCCCCTTCATGCTCCTTAAGGATCCTCTACTTGTTTCAATTTAGTGGTAACAGGGATGATATTTCCTTCTTGTTGCATTAAGTGTAAGAAAGAAGATTGTCCATTTGTGTAAATTGCCTCCTCTAAAAGCTTAAAACTGTGAGCACTTCTATTTATTTTGGATTTGCAATGCATTCCTTCATGTGCTTGATTTCCTTTTATGGCTACAACAACAAAAAACTCAGTGTAATCCCACAAAGTGGGGTCCGACGAGGGTAGTGTGTACGCACACCTTACCCCTACTTTGATTTCCTTTTATGGCTAAGTTTGTGAAAACTTTTTGATGACGGGTGACAGTGATATTGAATACAAGACCTCTGCTTGCTCAGGTCCTATGTTTAATTGAATGAATCAACCTCATCTAAACACTTAAGATTTATGTTTGGAACAATAAATCTCATATTGGTCTTTGCCTCATCTTTTTCCATCAGTCCTTGTGGATTTCGCTGTAATGACTGATGGATTTAGCTCGCGTAACTGCAATGTTGTTGAAATTAAAAAATAGGCCTCTGGTGTATGCAGGGGATAAAGTACAAGTCTTTGTTTCCACTTTTTCTTAATATTACTTTTAATTTCAAGTTATTTTTAGCAGTAGTAGTAGTTGTTATCATGTGTGAAACCAACACTTCCCCGCATGCTCAGGACCGGGATATCTGGAGCGTGGATAATATAATTGGGGCCCAACATCGGGTATATGAAGAATTGGTATTGTCCCGGCTCTGATACCATGTGAGAAATATAGGCACGGGAAAATATTATTGCGATGTGTCATAACTATTTCCTTACACTGAGCCCTATTTATATTTTATACATATACTTTACACAGTACATACTACCTATGTTCCAATGTGGGGCACTAAGCCTATTAATATATACAGAGCACTACGTAATAGTTAATTGCTATAAAAAGGTGTGTCTTGTATTCATAAATTATCAAGTAATCAATTTATCTGGTCTTTCTATTGTTTTTTCACTGTGTAACTTGAGGACGCCTGGTCGTCCCTTGCTCTGCTTTCTCTTAAAAGTATTATGTAACAAACTTGACCATGATGTTTCCAGGATTGTTTTAAAAGGCGATACCTTTGATGTGAATGCAAATGTTCTTGGATTAACTATGGAGAGCAATGGAGTTAGAATAGTGGAACCTTTTGATACCTCTGTGAAGTTCTCTAATGCTTCCGGAAAGTCAAATATACAGTTGGCTGTCTCCGATATTTTTATGAACTTTTCATTCAGCATCTTAAGACTGTTTTTGGAAGTTGAGGACGATATTTTGGCATTTTTGAGGACCACATCAAAGAAAATGACGGTGGTGTGCTCCGAGTTTGACAAAATTGGGACAATCAAAAGTATGACACAGTGCATCCAAACAGAGTAACTTACTTTATCCATAAGATAGATCTAAACTGATGAAAATGACATTTGTTGATTGTTTCATCACAGGTCCGTCTAACCAGATATATGCTTTCTGGAGAGCTCGTGCTCCGCCTGGTTATGCAACAGTTGGTGACTATCTGACACCAACGTTAGTAAATCTCCGCAGATTCATTTTCTCTATTGCCTTTGCAAATTTGCCTGTGATACTAACTGTTCTAGTTCAACAGCGACAAGCCACCCACAAAAGGAATCATCGCTGTGAATACCAGCTTTGTCAGAGTAAAGAGGCCAGAGTCTTTCTTGCTTATTTGGCCCTCATCCTCATACAAGGATGGTGAATTGTGTACAACCACGTGTTTATCTGAAGAAGATAGCACCTGTTCCATTTGGTTCCCTAAAGCACCTAAAGGTTATGTTGCAGTGGGCTGTGTAGTCTCTCCTGGAAGGATGCAACCTCCAATATCGTCAGCCTGGTGCATCTTAGCCTCTTTAGTTTCACCATGTGATCTGAGAGATTGTGTTAATATTGACATTATGAGTAGGTATGTGAAGTTATTTGATTTGTTTTCTTTCTAATTCATGGGATCATAGGTGGAAGTAGTATTTAACACCTGTGGTAAAACAAATCTGTTCTCATCTTGTGCATTTCTTCCAAGTGAAGTTCAAGTCTAATCATACGACTCGTATTAGTTTTGCATGCCTGTACTTAATTTTACTGGTCTGTAATGCAGTTACAGATATCAACATATGATTTTCAGTTCAATATAAAATGTATTCTAACCTGTAGTTAGTCTTGTCCCAGATCTTCCAACTTGGCATTCTGGCGCGTGGATAATTCCATTGGTACCTTCCTGCCTTCAGATCCAACTACTTTGGAGTTGTGTGGCAGAGCATATGATCTTCGGCATATTTTCTTTGGGCTTCCCAGAGATTTCTCTGAAACATCAAAGAGCTCAGAAACTAGGGCTTCCTCTAGTCGAAATCATGCAGTTCAATCAGAGAGGTCATCCACTGTAAACTCTGGTCGCAGGTCTGAAGCCATTGCAACATTTAGGTTAGTTTGGTGGAATCAAGGTTCTGGATCTAGAAAGAAATTATCTATATGGCGCCCTATTATTCCTCAAGGGAAGGTATATTTTGGTGATATTGCAGTTCAAGGGTATGAGCCTCCAAATACTTGTATCGTACTTCATGATTGTGATGAGCTTTACCAAGCCCCTTCAGATTTTAAGCTTGTGGGACAGATGAAGAAACATAGATCAGTTGATAGTATATCTTTTTGGATGCCTCAGCCTCCTCCAGGCTTTGTGTCCTTGGGTTGTATAGCTTGTAAAGGTGCACCAAAGCAATCTGATTTTGACTCCTTAAGATGCATCCGCAGTGATATTGTTGCCAGTGATCAATTTTCGGAACAAAGCATTTGGGATACATCTGATGCTAAATTTATGAAGGAGCCATTTAGTTTATGGGTTATTGGAGATGAGTCAGGAACCTTTATTGTTCGCAGTGGTTTCAAGAAGCCTCCAAAGAGGCTTGCTTTAAAGATTGCTGATCGAGATATGGCTAGTGGTCCAGATGATATGGTGGTTGACGCAGAAATCAGAACATTCTCTGCAGCCCTCTTTGATGATTATGGTGGCTTGGTAATCTAAGCTTTCCAGTAGCTTTAATTTCTTCCGCAACTAGGTGTATTATTGATAGTATAAACAGCAATTGTGTTGACGATACTTCTGTTAGGTTATAGACACATGTAAACCGCAAAACATTTTCTGTTCAACTTATATTACTAGAAGGTTCTCCTATGTGGCATCTCCTTGCTATAATATCAAAAGTAATGTATGATCACCTTTTGATGTAGTAGCATGTAAATAAGTTTCCAAATTTCCTTGACTTAATGCTTCTACATGCTATTTGTTATTCTGGATTACATTCACAGGGTCTATCTGTTGTCAACTGACATCTCTACTGTTCTACTCGATCTGCAGATGGTTCCTCTATGTAATGTGTCTTTCAGTGGCATAACTTTCAATCTACATCAAAGGTCTGACTATCTGAATTCCAGTGCGACCTTCTCCTTGGCCGCTAGATCATACAATGATAAGTATGACTCTTGGGAGCCTCTTTTGGAACCAGTTGATGGATTATTGAGGTTTTTCTTCTTCGAAACTTTTGTGAACTTCCCAGTGCTTCTTACATTAATATTTTCCTTGCAATAGAAACTAGAATTTTGGGACCCTGGTACTCTACCATGACACACCGTATAAAATACTCTCTTCCTCTTCATGTTTCTTAGATGAATCAATACATTACTTGCTTGTGGAACGACTGTTTATATGCAAGTTATTTAACTCCATTCAACTTATCTACTTTGTGGACAAACAGCAAGTTACTTTCTTGTCTTGCCAAATATTATCCCTTTTTTTGGTGGTAATTTGCCCAAATATTGTTTCATTTTCCAATAATTAACATATTATACTTGTTCAGGTGCAATTGCAATGACCTTTTTTCGGCCTTTGATAATTTGGATCATAACTGTGGTCTGGACCACTAACTTGTTTCAACCTTGCCATCATAGTACGAATTGTGTGTATATTGGAAGCAAGAATGATTTGTCAAATTATTCCTACTCTGAATTCCATGCCTGTGTTTGACTGGCAAACTTTGCTTTTGTGAGAGGTCTACTTATATTTCGGGTTCAACATTCTGCATAGTCCTTATCAGAGAGATGTAGTTGCTGGGGCTATTTGGTTTCAGCCTAGCATATAATCCTTCTTTTTGCAGAATGTTCAGCATGTATTAGAGGACCTCAGTTTTAGGATTTATTATTTAGACTGATTTTTTTTAATATTCAGGTATCAGTACGACGTGAATGCTCCTGGTGCAGCTTCGCAGCTTCGTCTTGCATCTACTGGGGATTTGAACTTAAATATATCTGTGTGTAATGCCAACACAATATTTCAGGCTTATGCCAGCTGGAATAATCTGAGCAATGTCAAGGAATCCTACCAGGCAAATCTTCTTTCTTTAATAAATATTCTAGCCCGGTATCAATTTCTTCATCATGTAGCACACACATTCAAGGATATCATTACTTGACACTATAAATTTCACTCCGTCTACCTGCTGTTACTTGTACATATACATGAGATATTACCACTTTTTTATTTCATGCTACAGAATATCTGGGACACATTACTTGAGTAATTTAAGAAATTAGTCAAACCAAATATCCAATCAAATGTACTTCATAAGATAGTGTATGAGATATCTAGCATATCCTCCTCCTTCTGTTAGTGACAGACATATCCCCGTTTTTCGAATTTTATTTGGCAGGATGCAGTCGCACCAATTGGAGGAAGCAGGTCCATCATTGATGTTCATCACAGAAGAAATTATTTCATTATCCCACAGAATAAACTTGGTCAGGACATTTTCATAAGAGCTACGGAAATCAGGGGCCTACCTAGCATAACTAAAATGCCGTCTGGAGATAGCAAACCAATTAAAGTACCTGTTGCAAAGAATATGTTGGATTCACACTTGAACGGAAGTCTTTTTGAAAAAGGCAAATCCATGTTGACAATAATAATAGCAGAGGCAGAGGTATGTTTCTGTGATAATGCTAATAGAAAAGCTAAGTGTAAAATACATCAGCACCAAATGACTCAGAGAGTTGTGTTTAATAGAGGACGTGGAAATTAAGAAAATTACTAGCTGTTTCATAATTGATGTTTGTGGAGTTGCATATTGCTTCTTCTTTCAAGGCATGAGACTGTCTATGTAAATTCTGCTCTATTTCATGTCTTTATCAAGAACTTTCTATAACAGAATAAAATTGTTGAAGACAAATAAATAAATCGTGTTTCCTCTTCAAAAGCTTTTGCGTGTAGCTAAGGTTTTTGCACAGTTCAATATTGTGTTACAACAAGCAGAGATCCTAGGTCGAATTTCACTGTTACCCTTCATAAAAAAAATAGTTCTATGGACTTGGACTAAGGAAAAAGTTCTGAACCATACACATGAGGACGTGTATTGAACAATTCAACAAAACCGAGATACTTGTGCATGTTGTGCTCTGGAGAGAGAGAGAGAGAGAGAGAGAGAGAGAGAGAAGAAAATCATCTTCTTGACTGGTAGTCCTGCGAAGTAGTTGGGGTCTAAGTGATATGCTACCTAGAAACATTGACCGGGGAAGTGGTTGTTGAGATTCTATCCTCTATAACATCTAGCGATTAGAAGTATGTCTTCAGTATGGAGTGCGAACATAGCCTATGGTTGTGTCATTGGTTCTTTGAAAACCAATCTAACCGACCAAACCGATATTGTTTTTTAAATAAACCGTAGGTTCCATTTTAAATCTATAACCATACTGAATAATTAGGGTATGTTTTAATTTTTTTTTTAAAAAAAGAATAAATTACCGAACCGAACTGGTTAATAAATAAAGAAAAGTGTCCTGTATCTGACCGAGTGTTGTTAAGGCGTGAGCACCTTCACCCATAGGTTCTAGATTTAAGGTCACTTCGGCATACATAGAGCTTAATTATAGTTTTTCCATTCTTTTATCCAAATAACTATTCTTCAATGCATTACATTTCTATTTTTTATTTTCTGCATTGGCTCTTATCGTCGCTAAAGCCCAAGCTTTAATTACGCTTTTTGCTTAAAGCTCCGACAGAGTTTGGCGCTTTTAGCTTTTGAATACTCTGCCCTGGGCATTTAAACTTTAAGTTGGAATCAGCTAATTCTTAACAAGTTGGCTCATCTATAACATGTTTATTCATTTTTGTCTGAAATCTTGGGAATCTTGTTGTATGAGTTGTTGTGTTTTAGCTTACACTTACGGCTTTGAAATGCAGTTCCAACAGGTTGAAGGCTTGTCTTCTCATGAGTATGCAGTAGAAGTCCGTCTTGCTCCAGATGAGAGTCACCCTTGCCAATCTCTGTCCACTCAACAAAGTGCACGTACTCGTGGCAATAACTCATATGGTTCTATATCTTCTGATGTAATCTCAGTGAAATGGAATGAAGTATTTTTCTTCAAAGTTGATTCACCGGTCTGTACTCTCTGCCTCCACAAAAGTCTTGTAGGAATTGTACATCATGAAATCATATTACTATGATATTACATCTGCCCTATACATAAACAATTACCACATATCACCTCTGTTTGCTCATAGAATGCTTAGTGCCATAGAGGTCGCGTTTAGTTTAAAATTGAATCAATTGATCCTTTAATAAATAATCATCTAAAAGTTCAGATTCAATGAATTGTTGGCCGTAATGGGTAACTCAATTTCAGCTCGCAAGATTCTTATGTTAAGTTGTTTAGTCATTCTTTCTATAGCTTGAATTTGGAAATGGCTGAAAGAAGCAAATACAAATGAGAGAATCATTACAATGTGAACAGTGAGGCAGAAATGGAAGAGATTTTGAAGGTGTTGAAAACAGATTATTTTATACTCCATAATGCTCTTTTTATGTTTTGANGGTGCCGATTTTGTATGCCTCTTGCTTATTCCATTTTTGATACAGAAATAAAAGTCTTTTAAGGGTTTATTAATGAAAATTGTTTTCAATTGTATACAAACAAAAAACAATCTGCTCATATTATGCTTACCAACTGCAATCTTATATTCTGTGTTTCCTGCAAACACAACATTTTTATGTCTGCTTCTGGAGTCGCTGGAACATACATTATTAAGTATACAACTGGTGATCACATAGCACTTGTCAGATATAATAAAAACACTGAACGGCTCTCTGAGTCAAGGTTCTTCAATGTGCTTTATCATGAGGATCTTCAATCACCAAAACAAGGAGAAAATCCATTTCACTTGCCTAGCACATTGTGCCCCCTCTCGATGTGTGCTTGGTACCATTTAGGATCATATAGAGGTCACAAAAGAGAGAGAAAGCATATCAAAGATACATCTTCCTTCCATTGCACCCTGTAGTTGAGAGCCAAACTGGTACCCTAAGGCCATGTCATTATATTAGATCTCAAAAGAAATATAGTAAAGGACATTAAATGAAGGTAGCATCTGAATTATGAAGGATTAAGTAAATAGATAATTTTGTTTTTCAAATATAGATAAGTAGGGGCACCCAGCTCCCTTTCCCTTTCACCCTCCCCCCTCTCCAAGCCATCCTTCCCTCCAATAATTCGGAATATAAGTGTAGCATTTTCCACCTACGTGCATGAAGTGTAGTTGTCGATGGATATTGCCATATATTTTTTACTAGTTAAATTCTGCCATCTATGTCTAACACATATAAGACACAAGTCTTTTAAGGTTATGATGTCGTAACATTTGGATCTATTGTCTATGGTATATTCTCCTCTCTAGAATTTCTGTATATACTACTTATGTTTTTGGTTTCTAGATTGTTTGGAGTTTTTGTTATCTTGCAATTTATTTAAAGTTTGGCTTTTTTCTCATTGTTTTCTGAAAATTTTCGATCATGTGCTTCCATTTCCAAACAGGATTTTTTCATTCTGGAGCTTGTCGTGATGGATATGGGAAGAGGTATTCTTAGCTACCGAAAATCTTCTCTTTGTTGGTCACACTTAAGAACTGTCGGACTTCTTTAGATTTGGTTAATCAGTAAAACAGTTGTATAATGAGTGGAATGATTGTGAAAAAATTATTATGATAGGGTCAAGAGCAGTAATTGGGAAGTCTAGTTACATTCTTGAATCTGCTTATCAGAAAGAATCAGAATCTGGTTAATTGCAGCCAGCTTATGTTTAGATAAAAGTTAAACTTAAGACGTGTAGCTGTGCATGTTTGGGTAAAGGCCTCATACAGATTCATAAAATAGAACATTTGGAAGCATGAAATGAGTTTAAAACCATACAGAAATTTGTGGGGCGTATATCCCATGATATTTTCTTGAATTGCAAGTAAAAGCGTGAGTTTTTGTAGTAGAAACCTGATTTTTAACTGACCCTACTACATTCATTAGTTTCTCTTCATTGGCTTCTGAGGTGGCCCTTGCTATTGCAATATTCCCCTAATTGGATTTATTCGTCCACAAGCTTAAGCTTAGGGATCTTTTATCGAATCATAAAGATAGGTCTTCTCATTAACTACAAACTTTTTTTGTACGGAAAATGAGAGAATGTGTTTTTAGAATTAATGCTTAAAGCCTGATCAGAATTTCTACCGGTCCTGTTGTATTGGTATCCATAGCTTAACAGGCACCTGAGTTGGCCACTTGATACGGATTAGTTCAATATGTGGTGCTATATTTTTAATTTGAACTATTCTTTGCAGGTGATATTGTTGGTTATTCATCAGCTCCTCTAAACCATATATCTAGACCCCAGGAGAATCCAGTGTCTTACAATAGTTCACTTGAACTCAATTGGCTAGCATTGTCCTCTTCGCGGTCTATGGTGATTTTCTCGTGTTGCTTCTTCTTTGTATATTACTCTTGAAAAGAAAATGTGGAAAATATTACTGTTTCCCTTTTAGCTTCTTTTTTTATGGTGTCTTGCTTATCTCACCATGAAATGCAGATGATGACTAGTGAAGGAAAAGAAATGAATTCATCAGGAAGAATAAAATTGGCTGTTTACTTGTCTCCTCAACTTGAAGTTGAAAAGAGTGGGAAGTCCTTTAACACTCGGACAAAATCTGGGTTTATCCAGATTAGTCCTACCAGGGAGGGACCTTGGACTGCTGTGAGGCTGAATTATGCTGCACCTGCTGCTTGTTGGCGACTGGGAAATACTGTTGTTGCCAGTGAAGTGAGCATAGCTGATGGAAATCGATATGTCAATATTAGATCTCTAGTTTCAGTTCGTAACTACACTGAATTTACGCTGGATTTACAGCTCATGCTCAGTGCTTTAAATGAGAAAAAAAGACCAGATGATGATGAGAGAAAAAAGGTTTATGGTGATGAAATTGTGACAGATGAGTTCTTTGAGACCCAAAAATATAATCGTGATATTGGGTGGTTTGACGTTAATGAGGTATGCCTCCAGATTTTATTTTCTTTTGTGCCTGAATGTAGCAATTGGTTTCTCTTATTTCTGGTCTTAAGCCATCAACTTCTGTCATTTGGGCAGGGGAGAAATGAAGTTGAGGTTCCATCAGGCTGGGAATGGGTTGATGAATGGCATGTAGATAAGAATTCTGTGAACACTGCTGATGGATGGGTTTATGCTCCAGATTTCAATAGTTTGAAATGGCCAGAGTCGTCCAATCCACTAAAATCTGTAAACTATGCAAGACAGAGGAGGTGGCTTAGGAATAGGCAAGGCAAGCCGAGAGATCCCCAGGCTCATATTTATGTTGGGCCTGTAAGGCCTGGTGAAGTTGTTCCCTTGCCTTTATCTGTCCTGACCCATTCTGGACTTTATGCACTGCAAGTGAGGCCTTCAAACCTGGAAAAAACTGAAGAATATTCGTGGAGTTCTGTAATGGACATGTCTGGAAACACTCAGGATCTTGGGATGCCAGCAGAAAACTCTGGAATATCTGTATCCATTCTCAGTGAGTCTGAGAAACTCCTATACTGCCCTGTAGTTAGTGGAACCTCATCCAATAGTAACCGGGGCATGTGGTTCTGCTTGAGCATACAAGCAACAGAGATTGCAAAGGACATGCACTCTGATCCTATTCAAGATTGGACCCTCGTGATCAGGCCACCACTTGCGATTACCAATTATCTTCCTCTTACTGCTGAATATTCTGTTCTTGAGATGCAAGTCGATGGTCATTTTCTCACTTGCGATAGAGGGGTATTCTGTCCTGGTGAATCTGTCAAGTTTTATAATGCCAACATAAGGAATCCTCTGTACTTTTCGTTGCTTCCGCAAAGAGGATGGTTGCCATTACATGTTAGTTGTTATGATTACTTTGTATTCTGTCAATTCAGTTGATTCTGGTGTCTCTTGGAATGCATTAAAATGATACTAACTTCTTAACATTATTTACAGGAGGCTATACTCATATCCCATCCTAAGAAGGCACCTTCAAAGACAATAAATCTAAGAAGCTCAATTTCTGGAAGGTCTTAAAGAAAATAAGAGCTGATTAAGTTCTTTCCTTTAATATTGTGAAATAGGTGAATTTAATTTTCATGCTTAATGCCTTAAGCTACTGGCTCTTGCAGGATTGTTCAAGTAATTGCTGAACATGTGCATACCCATGAAAGGCCTCTGCAAGCAAAGATCACCAAGGTCTATGCTCCTTTCTGGCTTTCAGTTGGACGATGTCCACCTATTACTTTCAGGCTTATCGATTTGAGTGGGCGGACAACAAAGAAGATTGCTTTCCCTTTGCTATCTAAAAGGAATAATGAACTTGTCCTGGAGGAGATCTCTGAGGAGGAAATATATGAAGGAAATACAATTGCGCCTGTTTTAAACTTCAAGTTATTAGGCCTTTCAGCATCAATTAACATGTCTAGTGAGGAGAGTTTTGGTCCTGTTAAAGATCTTTCTCCGTTGGGTGACATGGTAAAGAATCTTAATCTTGTGTGGTATACTATGTTTTATCCAAATTTTTAACTTATCCATCCGTCCTCGATATTAGGATGGCTCGCTGGATTTCTGCGCCTACAGCGCTGATGGAAATTGCATGCGGCTTTTTGTATCATCAAAACCTTGCCCTTATCAAACTGTTCCAACAAAGGTTCTGTTTCAACAACAGCAGCAGCTTCGCTCTCAAACTTCTATAAAATCAAATTCAAACATTTTTATTGATTATTTACCTGCTCTTTTGTCAGGTTATTACTGTTCGACCATTTGTTACATTTACCAATAGACTTGGTCAAGACATATTTTTGAAATTGAGCAGCGAAGATGAGCCAAAGGTTTTGCGTGCATCTGATGCCAGAGTCTCATTTATATATCGCGACACGGGTGGACCTGATGAACTCCAGGTGAGTAGATTCTCTATAACGTGTTATCTGAACTGCTAATTAAATTAAAGAATGCTTTTTTCCCTGGAAAATCAATCCCTAATATGGTGTGTCTTACACATCGTCCACTGTTCTTTCTTTCTTACCGTCTTCTGAAAACATGAATGATATGAACCGTCTTCTGAAAACATGAATGATATGGACATTTAGTGTATTTATGGTGCTATATAAGTATTATATGCATTACTGATGTCTTGATTAAAGTAATTTTGTTCCATTATAGATGCTACCATCCACTTTTAGACTATTTGTTTAAACAAGGTACTATTTGGATTACCTGCGTGACCATAGTTTATGAACCATGGCATAGAATTGTGGCCTTAGGCTGTGCTAGATTGAAAGAGTGGATATGTAGTAAATTTCCTGGTGAAGTTTCTTGCGTGTTCATTCTGGAAGGGAAATGTCAATAATGCCGCATAATTCCTCTTTTTTCTGCCTTCTTGATTGTTAGCCATTGCAGTTTTTGAGAGTTGACTGCATTATTTTAGCTGATAGCTTGCAAGTCACTTACAATATCATGTCAATTTTGAAGGTCCGACTGGATGATACAAATTGGTCATTTCCTATTCAAATTGTTAAGGAGGACACAGTTCTTCTTGTCTTGAGGAGAAACGATGGCACGCGAAGATTTTTGAAGATGGAAATTCGTGGCTTTGAGGAGGGGTCACGTTTCATAGTTGTTTTCCGCCTTGGATCAACAAGGGGTCCAATTAGGTACCTAATTAACCTTGCTTTAGTTACGGTCGCAGGCTCTGCTACTTCAAGCTTCTGATTAACTCCAATTCTATCTGGTTAATCTGCTATATATGCTTGATAGGATTGAGAACAGGACGAGGAGGATGGTCATTAGACTTCATCAATCTGGATTTGGCAATGATGCATGGATCCAGCTACTGCCTCTTTCAACCACAAACTTTTCATGGGAGAATCCCTATGGCCAAAAACTTATTGATGCTGAGATTTATAGTGGCGATAGCTCTATGGTCTGGAAATTTGATTTGGAGAAGTCAGGGTTCTGTTCTGAATGTGATGGATCAGGCTTGCTTTTCCATGTTATAGATATGGCTGATGTCAGGGTTGCTAGGTTTATTGACGAGGGAGCAGCATTATTAATTTCAAAAGAAGGGAACATGTCTCTTGCAGAAGTTGGAAATCTTGGCAGTTCTCACATACAGAACCAGATGCAGGAGAATGGATCTCCTCTAGAAATTACAGTTGAGTTGGGTGCTATTGGGGTTTCTTTTGTGGACCATAGACCCAGAGAGCTATCCTATTTGTATCTGGACAGAGTCTTCATATCCTATTCTACGGGATATGATGGTGGAACCACAAGCAGGTTTAAGCTTATATTGGGGTTCTTGCAGCTTGACAATCAACTGCCTCTCACATTGATGCCTGTACTGCTGGCACCTGAACAAAACATTGATGTACATCATCCAGTCTTCAAGATGACCTTTACAGTGCGCAATGAGAACATTGATGGTGTCCAGGTATACCCTTATGTTTATGTAAGGGTAACAGATAAATGCTGGAGGCTTAACATTCATGAGCCAATAATTTGGGCTTTTGTAGATTTCTACAACAATCTTCAACTAGATCGCCTACCAAACAGTTCTAGTGTCAGCCAGGTTGATCCTGAAATACGTGTAGACTTGATTGATATATCTGAACTAAGGCTGAAGGTTTCATTGGAGAGTGCACCTGCTCAGCGACCAGATGGGGTTCTAGGCGTTTGGGGCCCAGTGCTGTCGGCTGTTGGAAATGCCTTTAAAATACAGATCCATTTAAGGAAAGTGATCCGCAGAGACAGATTTATGAGAAAAAGCTCTGTCATTTCTGCAGTAGGAAATCGTATTTGGAGAGATTTAATTCATAACCCTCTGCACTTAATATTTTCAGTGGATGTATTGGGTATGACAAGTTCAACTTTAGCCTCTCTCAGCAAAGGCTTTGCTCAACTATCAACAGATGGACAGTTTTTGCAGCTGCGTTCAAAGCAGGTATGGTCAAGAAGAATAACCGGAGTTGGTGAAGGGATCAGGCAAGGGACTGAAGCCCTAGCACAAGGTGTTGCATTTGGAGTTTCTGGGGTAGTGACAAGGCCTGTGGAGAGTGCTAGACAAGATGGCCTTCTTGGCTTTGCCCATGGGCTTGGACGAGCTGTTGTGGGATTCGTTGCTCAACCAGTGAGTGGAGCATTGGACTTCTTTTCATTGACTGTCGATGGGATTGGTGCAAGTTGTTCTCGTTGCATAGAAATTCTTAGTAACAAGACCACCTTCCATAGGATAAGAAATCCCCGTGCTATTCATGCAGACAATATACTTAGAGATTACAGCGAGCGAGAAGCACTAGGTCAAGTGATACTACATCTTGCTGAAGAAAGCCGACATTTTGGTTGCACTGAACTTTTTAAAGAGCCTTCTAAATTTGCCTTGTCTGATTATTATGAAAATCACTTTATGGTTCCCTATCAGCGGATTGTTTTAGTGACTAATAAACGTGTAATGCTCCTCCAGTGTGTGTCTGCTGATAAGATGGACATGAAGCCCTGTAAAATCATGTGGGATGTACCTTGGGAAGAACTCATGGCACTTGAATTAGCAAAAGCTGGCTACCCTAGACCTTCTCACTTGATCATCCATATCAAAAAATTCCGAAGGTCTCAGAAGTTTGTCCGTGTAATAAAGTGCAACACTGAAGAAGAAACTGAGGTGCCTCAAGCTGTAAGAATCTGTTCGGTTGTGCGTAAAATATGGAAAGCACACCAAACTGACGTGGCATGTCTGCAGCTGAAGGTTCCTTCAAGCCAGAGGCATGTATCCTTTGCTTCAAATGATAATGATGGAAGAGATTCGTTTAGCCAGAAAAAGGCCATAATTGAATCAAGGGAGCTGGCTTCCTGGGGTGCTGTCTCTGATAGAAGAAAATTTGTTCAACATGCTATCACATTTTCCAAGGTATGGAGCAGTGAACGAGAGTTGAAAGGTCGTTGTACATTGTGCCGGAAGAATGTTTCAGAAGATGGTGGAATCTGTAGTATTTGGCGCCCTTCCTGTTTACCCGATGGGTACATCTCAATTGGGGATATTACTCGTGTTGGTTGTCATCCTCCTAATGTTTCAGCTGTATACCGTTATTCTGACAAGTTGTTCGCCCTCCCAGTCGGTTATGACCTGGTGTGGAGGAACTGCTCAGATGACTACACCAATCCCGTATCAATTTGGCATCCTCGTGCTCCTGAGGGCTTTGTATCTCCGGGATGTGTTGCTGTACCTGATTTTGCTGAGCCGGAACCAAATGCTGCATACTGTGTCGCAGAAACATTGGCCGAGGAGACAGTATTTGAAGAACAAAAGATCTGGACAGCGCCAGATTCATATCCCTGGGCATGTCATATCTACCAGGTGCGCAGTGATGCACTTCATTTTGTTGCTCTCAGGCAGCCCAGAGAAGAATCGGATTGGAAGCCAATGAGAGTTATCGATGACCCACAGCTTCACATTGAGCTCTAGGAAGTTCGATTATATTCCAGGTACTAACCCAATAAACAAAGCAGCTTTCTTGATTTTGCTTTCCCTTTTGGAGAAACGCTGGTTTGTGGCACTGCTTCCATCATAATTGTATCCATCTTAATTGAAAAGTTGTCTTGAGTAGTTTGTAGAGTCAGAACTGTGTATTCATGTACATAATTGTACCCTTGGGATCACAATGATATATTACGGATCTTCCTAAGAGGCTGCTTTCCACAATTTTGGAAATGATCATTTCGAGCATTCAAAAGCTCCTTAGAAGCTTATGGTTATCTATGTTGTGGTCCTCATTTTTCATTGTTTCGTATGTTTATTGAAATTTATAATGGCTAAAAGGAATCTATATTATGTAAGGTATTTGTTTTGCCGTATGTGTACCTCGTTTATACATGCGTTAGCATTACTAAATGTTGGAATTTCTTTATTTTATGAATAGATAGAGCCGTAATACATTCTGAAATATTGGAAAAGGCAAGAGTATTTTTGCCGGAAGTTTGCCTCAGGACTTATGTTAACGTTTTGGAATGGAGATATTCAGCTTTCGTAACAATTAGACTGAAAGCATAAGAGAGATCTTACGCTAAAAAAAGGCAGCAAATCTCTGAGCTACAGATCTTTCAAGTCTACTTCCGATTTATCGAATAGGCTTCAGACAAGTAAAGGTACTCAATAACCCAAAAAGAAGTCTCTGCATTTTAATAATCTTTATTCTTAATACCATGAAAGAATTACACAAATGTCAATAGCTAAACACAGTGGAGGGTCTCTGATCATTTGACACCTTTGTCGAGAATATTTTCAAATACATCCATAACGATGTCGAGAATATTGGCGTTGAAAAGATATGTACTTCTGAAGCCTCTATTTTTAGATAAAATAATGCATGCATTAGCTTTGTGTAGTATTAATAATACTTTATTGGAATTTTTACTTCATATAGTAAAGGTTAACACCTTATTTATTTTAAATAAATACCATTTAAAAAAATTATATTCTATAGATACATTTTAAGGTTTATAGCAAAATATTTAATTTTGGTTACCTCCTAGCCTTAAGCCACTAAATACGCTATTCAGTTACATTATTTTCTTTCTCTCTCTACTTTGATACATCTCATTCTCTTCTCCCATTCTCTGAAAACACGATGCTCAATCTCAAAATTCCTCTCACCCACACTATTTTCTTTGCATTCCGATCAATTCTTGCACCGAATATTTGAATTGCGATTTCTCTCATCAATTCTCGCCACGGGTTTCGTTCACATATTGCCCGATGCATTCGAGAGCTTGTCTAGCCCTTGCCTTCCTGAAAAACCGTGGGGTGATTTCCCTTTTGCAGGGTTTATAGCAATGGTTGCGGCAATTGGGACAATGATGGTGGATTTGGTAGCTATGAGTTATTTTAGGAGATCAAGAAACGAGATTTCTCTGTTAAGGTCACTAAAAGCAAAGCAAATCCCTAACCAAATCACTAAAAGCAGGTAATGAAAATAAGAAGGCACGTGTTGTACCTTCAAATCTCAAAGGTGTTGCGTGTTGTATCTTCAAACGTTGCTACGGCGGATTCGCCGGAAATTAGAGTTTGTTCTTGAACAAAGACGACGGAGTTTGGGGCTGAGCAACTTATTTTCTGTTAATATATTTCAATGTATTTTCATGTATTTCATTATATTCATTGTCTTTTTTTCATTGTAATTCAATGTATTTCATTGTATTCACTGCCTTTTTTTCATTGTATTTCAATGTATCCCGCTGTATTCTATGTATTTCATCGTATTCAATGTCTCGCTATATGCCATGAATGTATTCATGTATTTTTTTAATTAATATAATTTATGTATTCAGATGTATTATATAATTTCTCTGAAGATTGCTATGTTTTAGGGTATTTTTCGGTTGAGGATCTTTTTTATAGCTGAAAATACAAGATTTGTATGTTGTAATTGAGTTTGTTGAGTTATATTAGGAGTTTATTATGTTAATTGATTCACTTTTCGTTTTAAAAACAGTGTAATCCCCTATTTCACGCCGTGAATACAGTCGAATACAATAAGAATACAATAATCTGTCCAGCTATAATCCCATGTTTCACTCCATGAATACAGTCGAATACACTAGAATACAACAACTGATTAGCTGGACTTCAATGATTAACGCATATTCTTGCTACTGTATTTATGAATACAATAGCTTAAATACATCAAATACATCTTATAACCACAGAAAAGATATTTATAATCCGTAATATAGCAAATGGTATCTATAGATGACTAATTACTACTAAAAGATAGTGCTTTATAAAAATTTCTCTACTTTATTTGGTACGCTTTTTGAACATATGCATTAGTTATACATCCTATTTGGTATTATCTTAGTATTAGTTATACATCCTATTTGGTATTTTGTTAGCAAGTCATGAGGGTTTAAATGACATAGTTTGAGCATAACATAAGGTGTTCAATAGGAACATGCTGGAGATAAGGTGCCAAAATGAAATTTCGGGCCAAGTTCCAGGGTCTGTGTATGTATTAGGCCTACTAACAATATAATGGGTTGTAATGCATGCATTAATTTAGTTTAAGAAAAAATTGACCTTCAAAATTTATGCTTGATTAAATATGCTATTATATTAACGCAAATTTGATGTAAAGTTTGAACTGAAATTACTCCCGCTATTTATATCTACACTCCGTCAATTTCATTGTAAATTTATAAATTTGTATTCTACTACTACGTACTGAAATGCATTTGTAATCAATTCATTTTCCTTTTGTTTTTTTAATTCAAACTTCATTTGCCTAATAATTCAAGAAAGTGAGATATAAGATTATATCCCTAGTAGATAAATAAATACTTAGTATAGTTTCTTTTTTATAAATAAATATTCAATTCTATATACTACAATATAGGTAGATAAATCAAGTAAATATTTTTAAATCTTTTTCACGGTGCCGGCCCAAGGGGGAGGCAGCTAAAGCAATTGCTTTAGCACCCCC